TATACACACAAACATATATACACACTTACACACCACCACATTACATAGCTCACTAGTATTTGCGCGGCGAACCCAACCAATTCTAGTTGAGCTATATACAACTAACACAAATTTACWAAGGTCGRTCGGTGTGTTAGTATAATACTTATTAAGCGCGAAGTATTTTGGTAACCGGGCGCACGGCCTATTATTGTTCGTTCCCGGCCCATACAAATATAATACATATATCATTATATAACTTTTATTATTATTATTAGATATTTTTAAAAAAAAGTCATAGGAGTTTTTATGAAATACATCATATTTAATTATACATTATTACAGTTAATAGTTATAATACAAAAAACACTATAATATTATTTTTTACTACAACTACGAGTTTAATATAGCAGTTCTGGATGTACTAATTGGCTGCTAATAACTGAGATAACTTGTAATAGATACCTATATAACGTCGATAATTTGAGCGGAAAGTCCTGGCTATGATAAAATTGTTATCGACGAAAACTTGTCGTSCTATATAATCAATTATTAGTATCGTTGGCAGTTTTACAAAAGTAGGTATCTTGTTAATCACARCAGTATTTTTGTTCATTGACATGTTTTTATGAACGAATTGTAAAAAATGCTCTAAAAACTTAGAAAAAGCACGTCAAAAAATGCGTTTAAGGTTAATTTTATCAAAAATGCTATACAAAATTATTTTAAAATAATCAGTACTTTTTTAAAAATGTTATAATAATAATAAAAAGTTATATAATGATATATGTATTATATTATTTAAAAACCATTGACAACTTAATTTGAAAACGACTAAAATGGCTTTGGTCGAAACGGGAAAGGTTGATTTTGGGCGAAATGGGTGCCACGGCCGCCCCGTTGTGTATGTATATATTTCTTGTACTCAGTAGGAAATGGACAGGTTCGACGAGCAAAACCTGTGAGCACTAGTGTGAAGGTTGTGTGTTTAGGTGTGTATGTATGTGTATGTATATACTTAAGAAAACTAATTACAGATATAGGTAACTCAAAAATGGTAACAAGGTGATTGGAATTGCATTGCTGTATAATACACAGTATAATAAATAATTAAAGCCCTATTGAGTCAACAGAAGACAATCCTATTATTTGTATAAAACGGTAATATTTTTTTTTGTTCTTAAGCCCACCAACCATCAACACCAATAAAAAAAAGTTTCCTTTTAATAGTGACACCTATTTATAATATTTATAATTTATATGTGGCGCTTTCTGACCTCGGTTATACATCCTGTACAAAAGTTCGGCGTCCTCGACCGTGATGCAGGCCGTTGGTATCTTTTTTACGCCATCGCTGTAACTCTGTTGGCCGGCATGTGGTGTGTTTAACGAAAATGGAGTGATGGATCTGATCAATGTTGCCACTGCACCGTACTTGGATGCCTCACTCGCTCCAATCGCTCTGTATGTAACAGTTTCAGAGTAAGACACGTACGGTTGATTATACACGACGATTTTGCCATTTACCTGCCAGATATATTATGAAGATGCATATAATATAATTATATTTCGTTAGTTATTTTTTAGTTTTTTACAGATAAAACAAATAAAAACTTTAATATAGAGACAGCGTCTCGTTAGTTAATATAGAACATTTGATATACAGGTTTATAGATAATACCTGTGACGATTTATTGGAGAGGTCATCAAACGAGGTGACCACTATTACCTCAGCCCTAATGCCTTCGGGAGCTGTGCTGACACTACCGCCCAACCCCAACATCACCAGGTTTTTGAATCTCGGTCTCACCAACGCTGCGTTCTCCTTACGTCTAATATCATGGATATTATGTTAATATCTATTGTAGTAGTGTATTATGAATTAAAAACCGTTGGATACATTTAACGACTTATATATAATGTGTATAATATTATATACCTTTGCCATCCCGTGAACATGACTCGTTCGGTGTGCACATTGTCCAAGTTTTCAGCTCTCAGGGTGTTCATCATGTAGTCGATTGAATTCTCAAGGTTGGGCGTGCCAGCCATCCTTGAGCCAAACGTATCTGTGAACTCAGACAGGGCGGCCCATGTCCTGCCCTTGTAACCACGCTTATCCCGGACGTACGAGAGTACACGGTCGACAACGGGACGATAGCTGGCGATCTCGTTGCTGAGAGAACGGACCAGATGGCACTCATTGGAATACGCTACCGTCAGCGGCGGGACAATCAGGGCCAGTAGCAAAACAACCATGGTGACTGAACAGGAAGACAGGAATCGACGATGAGCCATTTGGCGACCGCCACTTGCAGCTAACGTAAAATACAATATAATATTCAGTCCCATATATGACTATGCACTTTTAAACTTATTGCACAACCACGACATGATTGTGCATTTTAGATTCTGAGCGGAGCGAGGAATGTATTGATTTTACTATGATGTATGTTTTTTTTTTTTTTGCGCAATAAAAGTGCTTTGATTTTTGACTTTAGTACCTCGTTCGATCAGAAAGTGAATTTAATTGGTACTTTGGGGGTCAAAAGTAAAAAATTCTTAATATTTTTCTAAATAATGGGGACAAACTAAAAATTAGTGATTTAACGAAAATTTTATATTCAATTCACCATGCAATTTTTAAAAAATTTCGACTTAAGTTGAACTATTTACAGGCATATTCAACTGTTAATCATTATTAGATATATTTTTTTTTTAATTAATATCAATAAAAATTTATTTGTTGGGTAGAAAAGCTTGAAAATTAAATACAAGGCTCCTAACATATTTTTACAATAGCAGTTGAAAAATGTAAGAAATATATAGTCACATTTTTTTTTTATAAGCATTCAAAGTTTGAATTTTGACAAAATACGTGAAAATCACGAAAATCCGTAAATTATTTTAAGCTAGAAATTCATAAGAAAATTTCTTTTTAAATCTAAGATTTGGAAATTTAAAACACGATTCCTTACAAGTTTGTCAATCTTAATTACAAAAAAAAAAATGTCCACCAGAAATTCAAATTAAATTTTTATGAGCGTTTGAAATTTAATTTTAATTAATTTAAATTTATTTTTTAAATATAATATATTCTATAACTACCTACCTGCAGTATTATGACAAAATTAAATTCAAGCACAACCACAGTCCCCGTAGTGGATTTTTACGCGTGGTCCACGACGGAATCAATAATATGAAAAACTTGAAGCTTCGCCGCACCGGATGGCAGTTATTATGTTACTGGGCCGGTACAACATCAACTACTGAAGTGGATTATATATACATTTTTCAACAGTCAGACAACAACGACTTGTTGTGTTACGTATAGCGTGCGAAGAAGATAAGCGAGATCATAGTACAAAGACCTATTATGATTTATTTAAAGAAAATAATGGTGAATCATGATGCAATTATTTTGATGTTATATTATTATTATGTCGATGATAAACACGGGCACAAAGGAAACTAAAATATCGGATATGGCTCGCTGTCAAATCTTAAATATAATATACGTGACTATATTGTAAATAATTTTGTATCCATAATTAATAATAATATTTCCATTGCTTATTGGTTTCATCTTTACATATAACATTATACCTATTATAGTAATATTAATTCAAAGGTGCCTATTTAAATAACTGTATTATAATATTATTATGTCATACAAATATTAAAATATACAATACTAAGACGTTTGAGTGTTTTAGAAAACGTAAAAAATGTATCATAGTATATTTTTCATCTTTTGTAACAAATAATCTTAAACAAACTTAACTATTTTTTTTCTTAAGATAATTATTATAAAAAAACGACTTTTAATGTAATAAGTGAATTAAATGTTCTATAATATAATGTATTTATTATATTTATTTCAAATATACTTCACACAGACTCCTGAGTGCGTACGATTTTTAATTTTTACCTTTTCATGGCCAGAGTGCGTCCACAGTCTTATCGACAGATTATAATATTATTAAAGTGCCTGGGTGTGAACTTACTCGGCAAATCATAATGTATAGCCCAAGTGTATCCTCAGTACTTTAAATACTGTTAAGACTTAATGTGTAGATGGTACTTATAAGTATTCTACTACATTTATTTTACAATACATGGTTTAAGTTATGCTAATTGGATACATTTAGTGAATTTTTACTTAATAATAAAGAATCCTAATATTCCTAATCATATGCGAAGTGTTTTTATATATTTAAAAATTAAAACTAAGTGTTTTAAATTAAATTAATGTTATTCTCCCGATTATTGATTTGTGGACTTTGAATCATCTGTTTACCTTGGCGCATTAAAAGTTTGGTCAACTATAATATTATTAAAGAATGTTGCTTACATTTAGGGCGAACATGATGGTTAGGTAATGTGACACATTCAACATTTTGCGTTAAGTAAAGATTATTTCAACCAAACGGCAAACAGAAATAGGTTTATTTTAAAAAATATTTTTGGATTACCATTATTAAATTAAGAAGATGTAGAAACATGCATTGTTGAAGATTTTATATTTATAATGCTAATACATCCAAAACTCGACGAATTTTTATATTATTTAATAGAAATTTAATAGGTTCTACTGATTCTAGAGCATTTTCTTATGTGGGCTGAAAGGACAACATATGTTTGTGAAAGATTTCATTTCAAGTAAAATTCATTATTTTTTATACAACATCTTGATATAAATTTTTGGAAATATAAAAAAAAAATCGGACGGCCACACAAACAACAAGAAAACCAAAGGAAGTACGTGCAAGAAAATCGTAGACAACATATAAATTAATATAAAAATAATAACATTTCAACACTAAAATTTGTCAAACGAATCGAATTTAAACGCCAACCTGTCCAGCCTATATAGATAAAACAAAAAAAAACATTTAAATAAATAGTACACTCACCGAAACTCAAAGATTTAAACTAAAATAAATAATTAATAATGATGAAATATTTTTGGAGTGTAGCCAGTTCACCTCTTTGTGATGCACTCTGGGTATAGCTGTCAATGAACTGGGATGCATTCGGGCTATGTCAAAAATATGACCTCTTTTTCATGGATGACATCTTATTCTGAACGTATTAGGAACATTAAACAAAGAGTCATTCGGGACGCTCGTAGAAAACTCCCAATAATATTATTGGGCGATTGTAAACTCCACCAGATTAGATAATAAGGTAATGAAAATGTCTAATGTCAATTCTGTCAGTTTTATTTTCAGATGCATACTAGCTAGTTGCTGTCACAGAAATTTTTGAGATAAACAGATATTTAAGTTGCAGTTACGCTAATTGTAGGTAATATCTGAAATGCGGGTCACGGCGTTAAAATGTCTATATTCCATGCAAAATTAATAATATAATGTGAATTTAAATTCAAACTAATTACTATTTAAAAATTAAGTGTTTAAAAATTCGAGGGTGAAAGAAGATTTTCTATAGCTTGACAAACACGTTATTATGAATATTTTGAAATTAATCGACTTGTACCTATATCTAAAGTAGAATTCTTTCAAATTTGTACCAAAACATTTTTAAAAGTATTATACTTACCTACATTATTATTATATTATTAAATATTATGTGATACACGTTTAACTTGTTTATAACTACAAATTTTATTTGATTTAAACATAAACCAAGTAAATTTAACTATAATAAAGTACAGTACTAAGCCTKGGAAGTAAAATGTTCTTTAGTAAAATTTTTGCTAGTAAAATAGCAAGGTATGGGGTGACTATAATGGAGTAGACCGCAACATGGTACGTAATCTTAGATTCTGAAAAGAGCAATAAATGTATTGATTTTACAATTATAGTGTGTTTTTTGTGCTTCAATTATTATCAACCTCACTAACTTTTCCGGTTGACAAGTTAATGTATATGGCGCATTGGAGAAGTCAAATTTTGAAATACCAAATAGTCTTCAAAAGCACCAGGAAAAAAAAGAATTCTAACGTAAAATCGATTTTAAATATTTGAGTAACTCTAAAAAAATTACCTTAGACATATTTAATTTTTACTGCGAACGTTTATACAGGCATTATCTATATATTATGATATCTAGRAGAAAGTCAAATTCAATTTTTATGAGCATTTGAATTACGTCATTGGATATTCATTCAAATTCTTTTGTACCGATATTCAGGATATTCTTATTTTGTTGTTATTTAAAAACGAATAACTGTAAAAATTTTAAATTTACCAATTATTCCTATTGTTCACTACGCTTACAAAATTTAAATAGTTTCGGCCACAACCTCAATTCATTTTATATTTCTTTTATCTCTTTGTCTTTTGGTCTCGTGCTGTGCAGGTCGTTGAGTTTTTTCAGTCTTTTTCTTTCCACGTGGAAATATTTTTGTGTTCAGCCACTCGGCTATATCATTTATTAATATTATTTAATATTTTCCAATCTAGGACGCACATAAACATACCTGCAGAAACACGTGAATTTTTAAATTGGTGAACATCGCATGTTCCTTTTGTGAATTATTCGTCTCAACTGGTGGCCCGTTAGTCGCACGTTCTTGTGATTGCCACAATTAATTATTATATTGTATTTTTCATTGTGCAAGTGTGTGCATCCCAAGACAGTAGCGTTCTGGTTCGAAGCCGCTAACGGACACCAGTTGGCAGGTAATCGGCTGACGAGCCTTTTAAATTTATTATTAATTGCATACCTATGTTACGGGAAAAGTAAAAAGTCGGGCATTGTGCACAATGCCCGATTTTCAAGGGCAAAGTTGGAATAAGTTAACGTTGCCCGGGCATTGTATACAATACAGTGCCCAATTAGATTTGGGCACAGTAGATTAAATATTGAATATTATATAAAAAATTAAAAATAAAGATATTAAAAATAAATAAAGTTGCACAGCTTTACTATTTAATTAATTTATTATTAAATTACAATTATTATTTATTTGCTTTATTTATTACCACATACACCACTATTATGACACTTTGAGTTGCAAAGACGACCAGATCTTTTACATTTACACCGGTTGGTCTTACTGAATGCATTGCAAGTACACCCTATCGTACCCTTGGCCACCCAAATTAGAAGATTTTCTTGCCACTTCTCTTAATGAATTTTGTACTGGTGGTACATCATCAGCCTGGATAAACACCTCTTTACATATTATTGCGAATTGGTTCCGACTGTAGAGATGATGTAGTCTGCCCTCGTTTGATCCAATTTACGAATAACATATATAATTATAGTTTTGTAGTGATATTATTACGTATAAATGCAATTTGATATAAAAGTGTGCAGCGCACTGTATAATTCACTTTGCCCACTTGAATCTGGGCAGGGTACACTTTGCCCGGGCAATCTAGTACAATGCCCGGTCAATGTATGACAAATTTGAGTATTAAAATGATCATTCTTACATTGGCCAAAATGTTCGGGCATTGTGTACAGTGCCGTGCCCGGGCATTGTTATACAATGCCCGGATTTCCTACTTTGCCCGTAACACATATCAGGGTGTCCCGCGATGATTTACTCATTGCGATATCTCCTGAAATAATCGAGATATCGTAATTCTGCTTTTTTATTAAGACTCACAGAGGTAAGCACTACATATAATTTATTTTTTTATTTTTTTTAATGTTTTGGTAAAAAAGTTAAAAAATTTATTTTTAAAATTAATTATTTAAAAAAAATTGAAGATAGCCATTTTGTAGAGTTCATTTTTCTGAAAATATTGACGTTTCAACATTTTAATTTCATTAATCTCCTGATTTTTAATAATTTTTCTAGTTTTTAGAAAAACTGTGAATTATTAATATTGATACCTACCATAATGGTCATAGTTCATAATATTGCGGTAAACTATCACTTGCCTTATGACCACAATTATAATCGTGGTCACGATTTAAGATATACAGATTGCGTATCAAACACCCATATTTTGACCGGTGAACTAACTATCTGAAACAGCTGTTCCCTCTATTACTAGCGCACCGTGTGGAAAATTAGTTTATAGTTTATACAGGGCCCGGACACTGATAAAATTTAACACAGTAAAGATATCCAATATTCAAAAACGTGGCAGCCATCTTCCCGTTGGCTAATCAGTGTGACCATACCAGAAAAACAAAATGTTAAACACAATTTTTTYCAAAAATATTTTAAATCTAATTAGTTTTATTCTAATTGATCACTTACTTAAAATTATTAAAATCAGTAACCGTTAACGATAACTATAAACCAAATACATAATTAGGAAGGTACTCATA